GTGCAGGAAGAAACGTTGGGGTCCCCGTTCACAAGCGAGGCAAATGAAGCCCAGGGAGGTAGGGCCGCTCGCCCCAGGTCCCACAGGGAGTCCCTCATGGGTTCATGAGCTTGGAGAAGAAACCAGGCCCGTGCAAGGAGAGAAGAGCTGCCCCCAGCAGGTGCTGCACATCCCTCGCTGGCGTCCCTAACCTGCCCGTCCTCTGAAGGAAGTCCACTGCCTAAGGGTCCCTGCCCAGTGACTTAGATGACTTTGTTCTGTTTTCCTGAAAGCCAGAGAAACAGAAGGAACAGGGACACCTGGGCCAGCAACGGGGAAGTCCGGGCATCTGCTACACACCCTTGGGGACAGGGATGATGAGGAACAGGGAGGGGAGGAGGGGTGGGAAGCTCTTGTGACTGAGAACCCTCTAGGGCAGGATTACAGCAACAGGCTTGGCTTGACTCACATCTGTTTTGAAACTTTTTAGTTTCATTTTTTTTTCTTTATTTAGAGATTTTTGCTATAGGGCGCGTGCACTCACCAGAAAGACAGAGACAGAGAGACAGAAAGCGAGAAATCACCCCCCAGGGGGGAGGGCCACGCTGCAATCCCTTCTCCTCCATTGAGAGAGAGAGAGACAGCACCCCCAATGGGGTCTTGATGCCACGATCCACCCCCAGCCTTCAGCCAGCCCTGCATCATGGCCAAGTGCACACCTGGCCTACTCAGGAAGGTCTGTGGACTTGAACCAGGAGCCACACGTGGGGCTGCTTCACAGAGCACACGTTTCACCTCTGCACCACCATCTGGCCCCACGTTGCTCACTTTGTGGGCTCGGCAGCCCCGTGCAGGAAGAAACGTTGGGGTCCCCGTTCACAAGCGAGGCAAATGAAGCCCAGGGAGGTAGGGCCGCTCGCCCCAGGTCCCACAGGGAGTCCCTCATGGGTTCATGAGCTTGGAGAAGAAACCAGGCCCGTGCAAGGAGAGAAGAGCTGCCCCCAGCAGGTGCTGCACATCCCTCGCTGGCGTCCCTAACCTGCCCGTCCTCTGAAGGAAGTCCACTGCCTAAGGGTCCCTGCCCAGTGACTTAGATGACTTTGTTCTGTTTTCCTGAAAGCCAGAGAAACAGAAGGAACAGGGACACCTGGGCCAGCAACGGGGAAGTCCGGGCATCTGCTACACACCCTTGGGGACAGGGATGATGAGGAACAGGGAGGGGAGGAGGGGTGGGAAGCTCTTGTGACTGAGAACCCTCTAGGGCAGGATTACAGCAACAGGCTTGGCTTGACTCACATCTGTTTTGAAACTTTTTAGTTTCATTTTTTTTTCTTTATTTAGAGATTTTTGCTATAGGGCGCGTGCACTCACCAGAAAGACAGAGACAGAGAGACATAGAGCGAGAAATCACCCCCCAGGGGGGAGGGCCACGCTGCAATCCCTTCTCCTCCATTCTTTTTCGGGATCTTGGGCACACACATACACGCGCCCTGCTTGAGTTTAAGCCACCAGGTCCAGGACTCGAACTACAGTCGACTACGTGGGAGTCCAGCGACGTAGCCATTATGCCAACTGCTGGTCCGCCAAGGCCCCCTGCTTTCAGAACCTCCCAAGGTTGAATAGCTCCCTAAAAACCTAAGTGATCTGGCCCTGGGAGATACAGTCTTGATATGACGGTGGACCGGGCTGCTTGCTAGTGGCTGAGTGGGACTCTGGTCTTTTTCCGTTCTGTGTGTCATACTGTGACATGGGTGTCACATTGGCATTGGTGGCACTGATGGCCAACTGTATTGGGAACCTGACTTACAGCCTCCTCGAGATGTAATACTGGTGGAAATGCATCTTAGGATGATCCAGACCTAGCTAACCATCTGCTAAGGTCTACGCTAAATAATTCTGCACACATTTTTGATAGGTACAAACATTAGGCTATCAGAAAAAGTTGTGATGCGTTTTGGCATAGAAAACCAGAAAAAATACGTCACGACTTTTCGGACAACCCAAGAGCCATAGATGGGGAAGGAGTAACGTGGAACACAGGTGCCCCAACAGATGTCCACATTCTCCGCCAGAAAGCCTAGGCCACCGGCTGAAAGGTGGCCTACGCAGTGAGCTCTCCACCTCGAATGTCCTCCCTGGCAAAAATGTCTTTATTTCCTTTGCTTTCCTGACTTCTGGAAGGACTCGTGACTGAAGGTCAGCGATGCTGTCAGATTGTCACCAGGCTCCAATAGAAAAGCTGGACGCCAAAGGCTCCCTGGTTGGCCGTACCTGCGTGTACTGTCACACACCCGTGTTGTGAGGTAACGTGTCCCAAGGGCACGAAGCTGCGTTTGCACACCTCCTGGACCCCGCCCTGTGTGCCATTGTCCTTAGTTGATTCCTCATGTGTATCCTTCCGCTGTATGAAACCGCAGTTCTAAGTGTAGTACTTTCCTGGCGTGCTCAGGTGAAGTGACACCTGAAGGTGGCCATGACGGCCCCTGTATTTGTAGCTAGCTGGTAGGACGTGAGGGTGGTCCTGGGGATGCCAGCGCTTGTGTTTGGCATCTGAAGTGAGGGTGGTCTTATAGGAGCTGTTCCCTCCAGCTGTCATTTGCCTCGCTCCTTGCAGGAATGGAATTCTAAGACCAATGAGCCTCGGAAACGCCAAGAAAGGAAAATTGGTTTTTGAGAGACTATGGGTGCGCTGGGTGTCAAGCTTAATGAATTGCACATGTTTGCTAAAAGTTTATCCACCTAGGTCTTCTATAAGTGAGAGGAGACAGGGACAGAGAGACACAGAGAGAGAGAGAGACAGCACCCCCAATGGGGTCTTGATGCCACGATCCACCCCCAGCCTTCAGCCAGCCCTGCATCATGGCCAAGTGCACACCTGGCCTACTCAGGAAGGTCTGTGGACTTGAACCAGGAGCCACACGTGGGGCTGCTTCACAGAGCACACGTTTCACCTCTGCACCACCATCTGGCCCCACGTTGCTCACTTTGTGGGCTCGGCAGCCCCGTGCAGGAAGAAACGTTGGGGTCCCCGTTCACAAGCGAGGCAAATGAAGCCCAGGGAGGTAGGGCCGCTCGCCCCAGGTCCCACAGGGAGTCCCTCATGGGTTCATGAGCTTGGAGAAGAAACCAGGCCCGTGCAAGGAGAGAAGAGCTGCCCCCAGCAGGTGCTGCACATCCCTCGCTGGCGTCCCTAACCTGCCCGTCCTCTGAAGGAAGTCCACTGCCTAAGGGTCCCTGCCCAGTGACTTAGATGACTTTGTTCTGTTTTCCTGAAAGCCAGAGAAACAGAAGGAACAGGGACACCTGGGCCAGCAACGGGGAAGTCCGGGCATCTGCTACACACCCTTGGGGACAGGGATGATGAGGAACAGGGAGGGGAGGAGGGGTGGGAAGCTCTTGTGACTGAGAACCCTCTAGGGCAGGATTACAGCAACAGGCTTGGCTTGACTCACATCTGTTTTGAAACTTTTTAGTTTCATTTTTTTTTCTTTATTTAGAGATTTTTGCTATAGGGCGCGTGCACTCACCAGAAAGACAGAGACAGAGAGACAGAAAGCGAGAAATCACCCCCCAGGGGGGAGGGCCACGCTGCAATCCCTTCTCCTCCATTCTTTTTCGGGATCTTGGGCACACACATACACGCGCCCTGCTTGAGTTTAAGCCACCAGGTCCAGGACTCGAACTACAGTCGACTACGTGGGAGTCCAGCGACGTAGCCATTATGCCAACTGCTGGTCCCGAATTTGTTTCCATTTCTAAACATCAGGAACTTTTACACCAAAAGGTTGTTGAGAACTTGTCTTGAAGAATGAGCCATCTGGCCATCCAGGGTCTGTGAGCCCAGAAACAGCAGCTGCTGAAACTGAGAGTCCCTGAGGTACAGTTCCCAGGTGGCCTGCCTTCTCTCCACTGGCCCGAACCAGAGCCGGTGTGCACACGTGTATGTTCACACAGACACGTGCACGGCTGTTTGGTGAGATCACGCTCTTTAGCAGGTATGAAGTACATATAGTTTTTTAAAGTTTGTTTATTTCTTCCAAGACAGAGAGACAGACAACCCCAACAAGGTCCTCAGGACACTACCCATCCCGTCCAAGCTGGCCCAGATCAGGGACACATGTGTGCCCCGCATGCTCTGGAATCCGGGGACGCCAACCCATGGCCTGCCCATGTGGGCGCAGCCGCACCGCCTCTGCACCGTTAGCTGACACACAGTCTACACCTCAATTCTCGTTTTGAGATGTTGGCGGGCATTGAACTCAAGACCCGCTGCATCACAGACACTTGCAGAAAGAAACCCACTGGCTCAGAGGGAGCCGAGGACTGTGGCAAGCATGTACACAAGGTGTGTGTGGAGTGAGGGGGTCTTTACACGGGGCCAGTCACGCAGACCGGGGTGTGGACACTCAGTGTGGACCACGAGCTGTTCTCTTCTCCACTCAGGGCCTCGGTTTCCCTGGTTCTCGCTATATCCTCCTCGCCTCCGGCCTAAAGTCACCAAAAGATAACACTGGATTTTGTGAGATCTCGTGAAAAGCTGAACTCCTGCATGGAGGAGGAGTTCCATCCAGTCCACTGCCTGGCCTGCCGTCTTCAGGGACTGGAGTTCTAGATATCCTGAGTGAAAACCATGGCTGAGGGCCACAGGTGTGGAAAGAGGAGGAGAAGGAGAAAACATGGGAGGAGAGAAGAAGGGAGGAGGAGGAGCGGAAGTAGTGAGGCCGGCAGGAAGGATCGCAAAGAGCACCGTTCACACTGCAGCTTTCCGCCGAGCTCCTGGTCCCGGGCTCGTTATTTGAGAAAGACATGGGGACCAGCAGTTAGCGTAATGGCTATGTCACTGGACTCCCATGTAGCCCACTGTGGTTCGAGTCCTGGACCTGGTGGCTTAAACTCACACCGGGCACGTGTGCGCGCATGCTCAAGATCCTGAGAGGAGAATGGAGGAGAAGGGATTGTGGCGTGACCATCCCCCCTGGGGGGGTGATTTCTCGCTTTCTGTCTCTTTGTCTCTCTCTGTCTTTATGGTGAGTGCACGTGCCCTATAGCGAAAACCTCTCAAAAAAAAAAAACAAAAAGCCTGACAGAAAGGCATGGAGGAAGGCCTCGATCTGACACGCTGCTGGGGACTCGGTGCCATCTGGACACCGTCAAAACTCTACAACTACAAACAGAAGAGGACCTGGAGGTGTTTTACTTTGTTACTTTATAACCCTTTTGTACTATTTGACTTATTTTTTTTTACAATGTACATATACTACTTTTATAATTAAACAGAAAAACTTAAAAGTGATTTTTTAAAAAAAGCAAAGCAGGAATCACAGTGGAACCGGAAATGGAACGTCAGCTTTAGGGACGGGTCATCCGGGCGAGTCCAACAGCCCCAACCTGGTGGCTGTTTCTGATCTGCAGGCCATCGTCCAGCCTCTGAGCCCTTATTCGCAGGTACCCCGATGACCCTGGACAGCCCTCAAAGCCCCCACTTAGTGCCTGCGTGAAAGGCTTCCTGCCACCAAGCTCCCTACTGCGCGGCATTGGAGAGGCCCAGAAATCCAAGAGGAACCAAGTCAACAAAATTAAGTTAATTTACGAAGCTAAAATAAAACCACCACAGTAATAATCCAGCCACCCTGCCCACGCGACAGAGCGTGACGCTGAGCGGCAGCAGGAGAAGTGTGCTTGCTGGGGTAAGGAAGACGAGCCCCATAGCCCCTGCAGGGCGGCCCAGGAGGACCCTCACAGCGCGAAGGCCGTAAAGAAGATGTGCATCTTGGCCAGGAAGGTGGTCACCGAGCCCTGCCGCCAGAGCTTCATCTCCACGTCCAGGGCGAAGTCCCGTGGCTCCAGCACTGACCGCTGCAGGTAGACCACGCCGGTGTAGGCGTTGAGCCGGCGCGTGCCGAAGTAGCCCTCTTCATTGCCCTTGAGGATGGTCAGGGCGATGGTGTCCCCAGCGAAGGCGGGCGCCGGGCCAATGCGGAAGATGTGCGCGGGCACCAGCAGGCCCGTCTGGAAGTTGAGCTGGTAGTAGGTGATGCGCGCCGGCGAGTTCTGGCACTCCACGAAGTCGTGGCACGTGGTGCGCTCGCACTTCCTGCGGGACAGAAGGGGCGCGGGTCACCCTCAGCTTTCCCACCGTCTCTGGCTCAAACGCTAGCTCTGCCTTGGTTTACCAGCAGCCCCTGCTAGGTCAGCTTAGGTCTCTTGGCCTCGGTTTCTTCATCTGTAAAATGAGGTTAGCTTCATGGTTTCCTTGGGCAGATGGGGTGAGTTCCTGACCCCAGTGTTCAGCCAGGGCTGGGTTTGTCAATAGCTCTCTCCATCCCTCATGCTGCTTCCTTCCCTGCCTCCCTTTCTCCTCCAGCCTCCCATCTTTCCCTCTTTCCTTTCTTTCTCCTTCTTTCCCTCTCTCCTCCTTACCCTCCTCCTCCCCTCCCCTCACTCTTCCTTCCTCTCCTCTCTCCTTCTCTCCTCTCTCCCCTTCCTCCTTCGCCCTCCTCTCCCTCCTCCCAGGGTTCCCAATGTCCCTCCTGCTGGCAGCCACACCTCGCATGGTCCCCTCCTAGGACCCCTCCTTCTTAGGTCCCTCCCATGTTGGACTGGGTGGCTGTTGGTAGAAGTGACGGTCTGTCATTCTCAAGACTAAGCTAGGTTAAAGGTCTGTCGCTTGTTCTCCTAATGACCTGCACTAGGAGAAGTCGTGTCACAGGCAGCCCCATGGAGAGGCCTACGTGGTGAGGCGCTGAGGCCTCCTGCCCAGAGCCGTGTGAGTGGGTGGTGGAATTCTTCAGCCCCAGCTGAACCTTCAGATGATGCAGCCTCCTGAGACAGCAAGCCAGAACCATCCAGCTAAGCTGCTTCTAGGCGGCTAGCCTCGGAACTGAGCTCAGACACACTGTGGTATTAGGGTGCCAAGAGGAGGGGTGATCTGGGGCAGAGTACTGGATAACTAATATGTCATCTGTGTGTGAGAGAGAGGATGGCAGGGAGGGAAGTGGGGGTCTCGAGCCTTCTTCTCTCCGCTCTCTGTACTCGGAACTTTCTGCAAGTGCTTTAATCTGCAGGGCGGTGAAGAGGAGGTGATCGAGGCAGGGGTAGCCCGTCACCTGACCTCTCCCCTGGGCAGTGTGGGGTCGGTGCAGGGTCCCCAGGTCCATGGCCAGTGGCCAGGGGGACACTCACGTTTCAGAGACTCGGACGTAGTTGGGAGGACACTCGAAGCGCAGGCAGCGGAAGCTGCCCTGGACGTTATGGCAGGTCTCCGCCTCGGAGCAGTTGTGAGTGCCCAGTGCACACTCGTCCAGGTCTGTGGAGAGGAGGGCAGAGGAGATGGGAGGGGACCCCCAGGGCGGAACACCCAGGCCTCAATGGCCCCCATGCATGCTGGAGGCCAAGGCCTCAGAGCAGCTCGCCCTCACTCTATGAGCACAGTTTACTTACTGCCCCGTCTCACTCACTCTGCACCCAGCTCTGAGGACCTCCCTTCCTCTGATGGCTTCTCACACTCCCAAGCCCCTAGATGGACACCAACCCCTGTGGTACAGGGTCTGTCTGGCACCTCCCCAAAGCCTCCCTTCCACACAGGCTGTACACTTCCAGGCGGTCCAACAGCCTGACCGGATCCTGCCCCAGGGCCTTTGCACATGCAGCCGGTGCTCCCGAAACCCAGTCCCTCCACATCTTCCCACGGCTGACTCCTCACCTTCAGGTCTCAGATCTGTCTCGGGCCTCCAGGATGGCCTTCCTGACCACTCCACCTCCGACCCCGCTGCCCTCCATCCCAACCTATTTTATCACCCTTGTGTGGCCGGTCACACTGCAGCACACCCACGGTGCTGGTTATAGCTGCTCTGTGCCTCCCTCCCTCCTGCGCCCAGCTCCAGGAGGGCAGGTGTGGTTGTCTTTTCCCGTCCATGGTGATCCGGCCACACAGGGAGGTGCCCGGCATGTCCTGTCAGACCCAAGCATAAGGCCCACTGCTTGTAACACCTGACCGTCCCTGACTGGCTGAGCCCAAGTACGGATGATTTCCAACCTTATGACAATACGAAAGCGGCGTGCACTCGGTACAACCATACTTCAGATAGGACTGTTTGTCTTTTCCTGGGCTTGAGATACTCTGGCAAGGCCGGTCGGCAGCAGCGAGCCGTGGCTCTCAGCCACGTGACCACGAGGGCAGAGAGCTGAGACTGCAGTCTGCAGTGTACCGTATTCAGGGTATTTCCGGCTGAAGCAGGCTGAGTGTGGCCTGCTGTGCCTAACTGAAGGCTAACGGATGGTCTTAGCATGTCTAAGGGGTAGGAAGGCTAAGCTGTGACGTCTGGCAAGTAAGCTGTATTAATTTCATTTCAACTGGAGATTTATATTTATTTTATTTAACTTTATCTATCCATTTACTTCTTTTTTAATTTGACCAGAGAAAGACAAAGAGAGAGAGAAAGTGAGAAAGGAAGCTGCCAGGTCCGGGACTTGAACTACAATCAGCCATGTGGGAGTCCAGCTCCCCTAACCACCACGCTATATGCTGGCCCCAATTTAAGGTATATATTTTTTTAATTGCCAGAGGATATGTGCTGACCAGAGAAAGGCAGAAAGACAAAGAAAGAAAACAAGGAAAGGGAGAAAGCACCCCCCCACCCAGTGGGGCACAGTCACATTCAATCCCTTCTCCACCTCTCCATCTTGATAGGATCTGGGGCACACATATACGTCCAACTTGTTTTTCAAGCTGCCAGGACCAGGATTCAAACTGCGATTGCCCATGTGAGATCTGGCTTGATTTATTATTATTATTTTTATTATTTTTTTTAGAGAGATTTTTGCTGTAGGGTGCATGCAATTGCTAGAGAGACAGAGAGACCAGAAAGTAAGAAATTACCCCCCAGGGGGATAGCTATGCCACAATCCCTTCTCCATTCTCCTCTCGGGATTTTGGGCAAACACACACATGCACATGCAATTTTAAGCTGCTGGGTCTGGGATGTGAACCATGGTCGACTATATGGGAGTCCAGCAATGTAACCATTATGCTATCTGCTGGTCCCAACTTAGGATATTTTTAACCCATGATGGGTTTATCAAGATGTGATCCAGAGTTCTGAGTGTCCCCATTCACAGATTAGGACCACCGAAGACCTTCTGTGAGACTTCATCCTCCTGCCCCCCCAGATCTAGCCAGGAGCCAGGTTAGAGCACCCTACTTATTCTCTCTGTCTCTCTCTATTTTTAATTTTTAAAAAACGTCTTAGCTCTCTGTCATTCTTTTGTCTTGCTAATTCTTACCTTTCCCTCTGCCCCCATAGGACAAGCCAAACACCAGCCATCTCTATCTGAGTTCTGAGTGATGCATGGTTTTAATTTTTGCTTATTATTTTTAATTTTTAGTGTTTTCATCTTGCTTTTCTCTCTCTCTCTCTCTCTTTTCTTTTCCTTTATCTTTTCTTTTTACCTTTCTCACTTTTCTGCTCAGCTTCCACACACAGATTTTCTAGACAGGTCTGGGTGCTCAGTAGCCAAATATCTGAATGCTTTTAGGGTCAGAGTAATCCTCAATTTCCATTGAAACTGCTGCCCAAAGGAAGAAAAATGATACTGTTTAGAGACTGCGAGTCACCTCTTCCTGCATGCCTCTGAATGCTCAGATTTAACGCCAAAAACTAGGAAAAAACATATAATCCATCAGATGACCAGAAACCACTGCAGAGGCACAAGAAATATGAGAAACCAAGAAAGTGTCTCTACTCTAAGGGAAAAGAATAACTCCTCTTCCTCCACAGACAATACAAGAGAACTCATGGAAATGTCAGATAAAGAATTTAAAATAGTCATACTGTATCTGCTGCCCAAAGGGAGAAAAACGATACTGTTTAGAGACTGCAAGTCACCTCTTCCTGCATGCCTCTGAATGCTCAGATTTAACACCAAGAACTAGGAAAAAACATATAATCCATCAAATGACCAGAAACCATCATAGAGGCAAAAGAAATATGAGAAACCAAGAAAGTATCTCTACTCTAAGGGAAAAAAATAACTCCTCTTCCTCCAGAGACAATACAAGGGAACTCATGGAAATATCAGAAAAATAATTTAAAATAATCATAGTGACAAAGCTAACAGAGACACGAGAAGAAGATAATTAACTCCAGAAAATGCCAGAGAAAAGAGACAATGAGTTCCAGGAGGTGAGGAAGTTCTTGCACAATCTGAAAGAGGAGATACACATCATAAAAAACAATCAAATGGAATTGTTAGAGACGAAGGCTGTAATACAGGAAATCAAAACCTCCCTTGAAAGTATTAAAAGCAGATTAGATCATGCAGAAGATCAAATTTCAAATGTATAAGATAGAACCTCTGACCTAGAAAAATTCAGCAAAAAGAAAAAACTGAAAAAAAATGAGAATAGCTTACGAGTAATACTAGATACCATCAAATGCCCAAACATCTGGATCATCACTATCCTAGAAGGTGAAGAAGCTAATAAGGGCATTGATAATATATTCCATGAAATCCTGGAAGAAAACTTTCCAAATCTAGAGAGGCACTCAAACATCCAGACCCAACAAATATAAAGGACCCCACAAAGAATCTATCCAAGAAGATCTTCCCCAAGGCACATCATAGCCAGATTGACCAAAACCACAGACAGAGACAAGATACTAAATTTGGCAAGAGGGACGTGTCAAGTTACTTACAAAGGTTATCCCATCAAGCTAACATCAAATCTCTTATCAGAAACAACTCAGGCAAGGAAAGAATGGGACAATATATTCAAAATGTTAAGTGAAAAACAATTTCAACCAAGAAAACTATACTCAGCAAGATTATCTTTCATATGGGAAAAAAAGACAAAAACAAAGTTAAACAAAACCTGAAAAAAATTTACCAACACCAGACCAGCTCTCCAAGAAGTATTGAAGGGAATGCTATATTAGGAAAACTACAGTCGGACACACAGAAAGAAGAGAACAAAAAACAGCCAAGAAAATGGCCAGCCAAATGGTAGGGACAAGTTCGGAGTGGAATGTTAACTTCCAGAGTTTAAATGGAACGATCAGACCACAGTAACACTGCAAATTTAATAAAAGAGAGATTAATTACATGAGACTGAACTAGTGAAATAGAATATTTTTACTTTAGACTAACACATTACTGATTTTCTTTGATGCTTTGATTTCCATATTTAAGGATTTTTGTCTTCTCTTGAACTGTTGATAGGGTAATCTACCTACTATTTTAACTGAATTCTAACTTTTTTCCTGGCTTTAAATTTTAAGCAAATTTCTCTGAATGTCTTTTTATTTTGATCTATTGAAACTAAAACTATGTGGCTAGCAGGTGGCATGGTAGTTGGAGGCGCTGGACTCCCCCATGGACGACTGCAGTTTGAGTACTAGACCTGGTGGTTTGCTTTCTCACTTTCCCTCTTTCTCTCTGTCTCTCTCTGGCCAAATTAAACAATAATAAATAAAAAATAATAATAATTGAAGTTAAATAATAAATAATTATTTTTTAAAAACTAAAACTGTTTTTCTTGAAATTTAAAAATGAACTGAAAATATCTATTAGTACTTATTTAATGACTGCAGTAAGCTATATCACCCCAGCTAGGTGCTATTTTATAGTATGTTCACTTTACTCACTTTAGGTTATGCCTAAAGTTAGACATATGTTCATAGATATGTATAGATGAACTGTGCTTGCTATTGAAAGATTTTAATTAATTAAGATCTTTAGTGAATCAACAAAATGTTTGTGTGGAGGGAAGGCATGGAAAACAACTGTAGATACCAGAGACAGTGTGGGAGGAGGGGGGAAATGGCAGAGAGTGAAAGGTAGAGAATCAAGGGGGAAAAATTTAAACGCAAAATATATAAGAAACAAGAAATGGAAAATTATTTGTTGACAATAATATATATGGTAATATCTTTGACTGAGCCAATATACAGTGTATTCTGGATGGAAAATCTATTTTGTATTCTGTATTGATGTACAGTGAATTATTTATTTAAATAATTAAACATTTTTTTAATTCTAGGGACCAGCAGTTAGCATAATGGCTATGTTGCTGGACTCCCCTGTAGTCGACTGCGGTTCAAGTCCCGGACCCGGAGGCTTAAACACGCCGGGTGTGTGTGCATGCGTGCCCAGGATCCTGAGAGGAGAATGGAGGAGAAGGGATGGCGGCGTGGCCATTCCCCCTGGGGGGTGATTTCTCGCTTTCTGTCTCTCTGTCTCTGTCTCTCTGGTGAGTGCACACGCCCTGTAGCAAAAACCTCTCACAAAAAATTCTTTTTTAATTCTAAA